GGCTCTTCCTCTGACAACACAATCTTGTTGTGAGGAAGTGAACCTTGCAGATTTTCTAAGGCACACAGAAGAGCAGAATTTCAGCAGAAGTCACAGTAATTCTGCTACAAGTCTGAGCCTCATTTCACGCTGTTCTTATACTCAGAGGTGGCTGGCCAGTTATTCTGGCATTGCCCCCCCCCCCCCCCGCACCCTATGAGGATGCTGGGAAAGAGCCATGATGAGGCCTGACTTGCTTGGACAGTATCAGGAAGCCGAGCACTGGGGCCTTATCAGGAGTCATGCAGCTGTTCCAGATCCCAGGACAGGCCTTTCTGCTGCTGGGAGGGATTCTCTTAAGGGGTAGTTCCCGTGTGGGGATGACCCTGGGAATCTGAGGGAGTGAAGCATGGTAAGAACATTTGTGATCTGGGGGAAGTCAGCTTCTCTCTCTCTCTCTCTCTCTCTCTCTCTCTCTCTCTCTCTCTCTCTCTCTCTCTCGATGGGAAGGCATGGTGGAGATATCAGGCAAAGTGCTGCAGACAAGCCAAATAATGTTAGCAAGAAATACAAATGAATTAAACTACCCTGGAAATAGAGATTCGAGGGAATGGCAGACTTTATTGAGGTGACCAAGGAAAGCCTCTCACTTTGCCCCTATCTATCCTTTCCAAGTTTCTGGTATACACATTGTCCTGAAGTTTATTTCAGAATCAGTGACAGCTTCTGAAAATCAACTGTGCACTGGAGAATGTTGTGCAAGCCAGGTTTAGCAGGCTCTGGATCCTAGACACATGCTCTGAGAATGGGTTACCCAGAATAATGTGTCCTAATTTTCTTTAGAACAGAGTTAAATCCAAAAGATTAGACTCATTGCTTCTAACTGTAGTAGGCAGAAGTCCTAGAATAGGGACCAAATGTGCCAGCAGTCTGGCCTCATAAGTTTTGTTTAGGGTCTGGGGATAGAGATTGGTGTGCGTCCCTGCTTCTCAATTTAAGAATATGTTGTTAGCATTGCTTTCTTTAAGAAACAACATGATTACATTGAAAGACTTTGGATAGGTTGGATAATTTGGAAAGGGATTGAATGGAAAACTCAAATTATAGAAACACTGACAAGTCTCATATTACTGTTGTTCCCTCCATCCCCCCACCCTTCCTTCCAGTGGGTTCTGGTTGCTCTGGACAGGCAAGGCACAGATGCTGTGTCACACCACAACGTAGACCTGTCCCTGTCTCTCAGAACTGACAGTTTCTGCAAGTTAAGCCAGCAGAGATAGAGATGGTCTTATGACACACCCTTGAAAGCTGCCTCTGTGAGGCCCAACAGCCCCCAGCACTTCCCCATACTGCTTGTCCTTCTTATGGGAAGAAATATTTGTGACTTTGTGCTTAAGCAGAACTCACAAGGATCTCTGTGTCTTTCCAGAAGACACAAAGGGAAGATGAAATGTAAGATTTCCAAAACACTGTCAAGACTCCTGTTCAGAAATGATTCCTGTTCTCTCCTTGGTGTCTGTCAGTCATGGTCTCCCAAATGGGGCAGGACTCGGTCCCACTGTCTGCAGCAGGGAGAGGGAGCTCGAAATCATTCTACCAGGCACAGATATGAGAAGAGAGGGGATGAGTACTTATGCTGGCCCCACAGGACTTATGCACCCCTGATTCTGGCTCACTCTAAGGTTGGGGCAGCGGCTTCTTCCAGTGGATTGGCAGGGGTAACTTCAGTGGCAGGTACCAGTAGAGTCCTATGGACAGCAGGCAGTAGAGAAGTCACTGGAAAGGCAGGTGGGGCAGTGAGGCCTCTGGTGAGGATCCATGAAGTGCCCAGAACAGTGGGGGTGGGGAGAGCTGCAGCATAAGAGGACAGAGACTAGATCACACATCAGCCTTCCCTGGTAGATTTGAGAGGGTCAGAGAAGTGAGCGTTAAGAGGCAAGGGCACTGTCAGTGGCCAGTCCTGACATCACTACCAACCTCAGGCAAGACAAAACTGGTCATCCCACAAGGAAAAGGAATTGAGAAGGAGACATGAGGGGAACGTCCCAAAAGCCAGTCAGATGTCTAGCTGTGCAAACTTCTCCCACGTTCAAGGAAACCCTGAACAGCAGCCCAGGGTCAGCCTCAGTCACTGCAGCCTTTCCGGTTGCCTGCCCTGGTGTCCCTAAGCACCGGAGCCCCCATCATGCTGCCCTGTCCTGGTTTACACCTGCCTTCTGTTCCACTGAAGGTGAATCCTGGAGGACAGAGCAAGTGTCACCCCTGTCTCCCCACAGCTCCTCATTTCGATTGACGAGTGTCTGAGTTGGATCTAGGAAAGAAAGCAGCTTACAAGCTAGCGCATCAAAAAGTTAGTAAATGATCCTTTCAGAGCTAAGCTTGGGAGGTAGAACAGCAGGTTTGGTTCAGCAAGAACAGCAGAGCAAGTCTCTAATGAATTCGGGGTGTGGTGCTACTATTCAGAGCAGAGGGGCCAGGGGACAGAGATTGCATCCTTTTCTTTATGAGGAACTTCAGTGCCAGGAAGTCTTTTGCAGAGCATCTGATGACACACATAGGTTCCACTCTATAAGGAAAACTCGGATCTCCCCACAGGCCGCTTCTATAACCCAAGAGTTTCACCTCCAGAGAAACAGTACAGTCAGACCACCCCCATATGAGAAAGGCAGGGAATGGTCTTCCTCTGAGAAGTACTTAAATACAAGTTAAGTGCTTGTGTTTCCTAGGTACAACCTCACGTCTTCATTCATTCAATGGATAGTTATATGTCACCTCTTCTGGGTACGGTGCAGTGACTAAATGTTAGACCCACTTCCTATAGAGGCTGTGCTGGGAGCCTCAATTGGGGAATTGACTCCATTGGACTGGCCTGTGGCCATGTCTGTGGGGCATTTTCTTGATTGTTGAGTGATGTGGGAGGGCCCAGCCTACTGTGGGTAGTGCGACCCCTGGGCAGGTGAGCCTGTGTTGGATAAGGGAGCAAGCTGAGCAGGGGCCAGGGAGCAAGCCAGTAAGCAGTGTTCCTCCATGTCCTGTGTTCCAGTTCCTGCCTCCAGGTTCCTGCCCTAAGTGCCTACCTTGGGCTCCTTGATGAACTGCGACCTGGGAGAAGTAAGCTGAATAAACCCTTTCCTCCCCAAGTTGGTAGTGGTCAGAGTGTTTGGTCACAGCAATGAAGAAACAAACCAGGACAGAAATTGGTACCAAAGAGTGGGGTATTTCTGTGACAGATCTGACCTTGGTGTTTTTGGGAGGATTGTGGAAGTGTTTGGAACTTTGTGCTGGAAAAGCCAGCAGTGGGGCTTGGAACAGTTATGCTGAAAGAGTTGTAGACGATGGAGGCCTGGCTTGTGAAGCTTCAAAGGGAAGCGGAGACTATCAGGGCTGTTCGTGTGAGATTTTGGATTGAGAACCTGTGGGTTCTGGTTGGCTGGGGCTGAAGAATCAGCTGTGATTAAGAAGAGACCAGAAACTGAAGCAAAACCTTTGCTTTACTGGGACAATTGATGCTGGTTAGCTGGGCTGAAAAAATCAGCTGTAAGTAACAAGGGACCAGCATCACTGTGGTGGAATCTTCTGGGAGGTATTTCCTCAGGGTCAGCACACAGAGGGGACCCGCACCTCTATTTCAGACTGGAAGCAGGACTTGGTCATGTGTAAGAGTCTCCTGCATAGTTTTTGTGTTGAAAGCATGAAGGGGGCACAGAGAGCAGCTGAGGCTTGGCACTCTGAGAGGCCAGGAAAGGCCAAAGGTGAAAGTACAGCTTCAGTTGCAGTGAAGACCCCAGGATTGAAGGGGTCATGGAGAGAATCTGAGGCTTTGCACCCCAAGAGGCAAGAAGAGGCCATTGGTGAAGGTGTAGCCTCAGTTTCAGTGGCAACCCCAGCTTTTTTGGAGATGCCGGGACCATGGGACGACCACCAAGGACAGTAAGTGTGGAATGGAGCTGGCCTGGGTCTGTGAGATGAGCTGAGTGTGCTGTGGACTGCAGAGTCAGAGCAGTGGAGCTGCCAGAACCCTTTGGAGCCAGAAGATCGTGAGCGAATCCCAGATGTCCAGCCTTGAGCTACTTTGCTGGACTTTGGTTTTACTTAGGTGTGTCCAATTCTTCCCTTTGAAATAAGACGGTACTTGTTTTGGATTTTGCAGAAGCCCACCCACAGTTGAGACTTTTAAAAAAGCCTATGGACTTTTAAGTGTTTGGATTTTTAAAGGACTGTGCGGTTTTCAAAGTTGTACTGTCTTATGTTGTAATATTAATGTTTACATCATATCTTGGGGACAAGATTTGGAAAGCTTATGGTTTAATAGTGATTTGTTTGTGTGTCAAGTTGACAAGGGGTCAATTGTGCTGGAGAGCTTTAGTGTCAACTCGACACACCTGGGTTGAGGGAGCCTCAATTGGGGAATTGACTCCATTGGACTGGCCTGTGGCCATGTCTGTGGGGCATTTTCTTGATTGTTGAGTGATGTGGGAGGGCCCAG